ATCATTGTGATAATTTCAAACAAAAGGTCAAAGCATCTAGGAGCTATTTTATTTTAAAGTTCTGGGATGTGCACTAAAAAGAAGCTGAGATAATTGCTAATTTGCATAAAAATTCACTCAGTAAGAAGTTTGCTAATGCTCATAATTAAAATGGCTGTAACAGTTCCAAATTTAAATGTATTTTAGTTTTGTTAAAAGTTAAATATAGTGCATAATATGGAGATCCCGTCATTTCTTTTTTCACCATATTTTTTTTTATTATTTATGTACAGCCTTGCTAAATCTTGCTAAGCATTCAAAAGAGAGAATTTTTGCATCTGTTATCTATATTTTAAAATCGTTTTTTGAGTATGTTCCACTATTCACAATTCTACAAAATTTTAACAGTCTATAGCTAAGACTCTTTGGATAATAACAAGCAAAAAAAAAAATTTCAAGAGTAGGATCGGAGTTGTCAGAGGAGTTTGAGGTGAAGGTGGGTATGCATCAAGGCTCTGTACTATCACCATTGATATTTGCAGTTGTCATTGATGTAGTTACAGAGAGTGCAAGAGAAGGGCTGATGAGAGAGATGTTGTATGCTGATGACTTGGTCTTGATGGATGACACAATGGAGGGATTGAGGGAGAAGTTTGTGAAATGGAAAAAAGCATTTGAGAGTAAGGGTTTGAAGGTAAATCTGGGAAAGACAAAAGTGATGGTGAGTGGGACAAAGGAGAAAGCTTTGGTGAGTAAGGTTGACCCATGTGGCATGTGTGGAAAGAGGGTAAAGGTAAATTCAGTGCGGTGTGTGAAATGTGGGAAGTGGATACATGGGAGATGTGCAAAGATAAAGAGGGTGACCCAAAGATTGGCAAGGGATTTTGCGTGTGGAAGATGTAAGAATGGAGCTGGAAGGGTGGTGGAACAGGAAGAAAAGTTGTGTGATGAGATTGAGACAGTGAAGGAGTTTACATACCTGGGGGACAAGGTAAGTGTGGGTGGTGGGTGTGAGGCGACTGTGACAGCTAGAGCAAGGTTTGCTTGGGTGAAGTTTAGGGAATGTGGAGAGTTACTATATGGGAAGAGATTTCCCTTGGAGATGAAAGGAATAGTTTATAAGAGTTGTGTGAGATCAGCATTGCTGTATGGGAGCGAGACATGGTGTTTGAGTGAAAATGAGTTGGGTACTTTAAGGAGAACAGAGAGAGCTATGGTGAGAGTGATGTGTGGGGTGAAGTTGATGGACAGAAAGAAAACTGAGGACTTGATGCAGATGTTGGGTTTGAAGGAAGCGGTAGATCGGTTGGCGAAGGCAAATGGGGTACGTTGGTACGGGCATGTGCTGAGGAGGGAGGATGGGCATGTATTAAGAAGGGCCCTTGATTTAGAGGTGAGCGGTCCAAGGAAAAGGGGAAGGCCAAAGAAGACGTGGAAGATGCAAGTAGAGGAGGAGAGTGGGAAGGTTGGGATGAGGATGAGGGATGCTTTAAATCGTGCAAAGTGGAGGGAGGGGGTAAGAGCGATTGCCACTAGTTTAAGGTGAATCCGGCCACCCTCGTCTTCGGGGACCAAACCGGATTTAAAACTCTGGACTACTACTACTATATACATTCAAAGCAGATCATGACCGAAATCTCAGACCACTTTCAGTGGTCTGATCCGAAATGCACCTGCATATGTACAACACAATGTACTAAATCTGAACAAAATCCATCCATGCATGACTGAGATCCGGTTCCGGAATTGTGAAAATACGTGATTTTGATGCATTTTCGGCCTTAAAATGGCCATCATTCAGCTATTGTTAAGCGGATCATGAAACAAATGCACATATCTATTTGTGACATGATGTACCATGTGTGTGTGAAGTTTGAACTTGATCAATCCAGACATATTTCGGATACGAATCCAGAACTGAATTCTTTAAAACAAAATGGCTGCCAGTCGGCCATTTTGAACTTGATCCGGAAAAAAAAAA